TTTGTCTTTCTAACCCTGTTTTGTAATCTTTTAGGAGGCAAATATGTGCCCCGTGCTGTGTTGGTGGATCTGGAGCCTGGTACCATGGACTCTGTGAGATCCGGACCCTTCGGTCAGGTCTTCAGGCCAGACAACTTCGTTTTTGGTGAGTATCGTTATTAATGTAAAGAAATTCCATTTGTGACCCTGAACCACAAAACCGCTTTTAAGTCGCTGGGGTATATTTGTAGCAATAGCCAACAGTATATTGTATGGGTCAAAATTATCGATTTTTCTTTTATGCCAAAACTCATTGGGATATTAAGTAAAGATTATGTTCTATGAATATTTTGTAAATGTCCTACTGTAAATATATCAACTTAATTTGATTTGTAATATGCATTGCTAAGAACTTAATTTGGACAACTTTAAAGATGATTTTCTCAATATTTCAGAGATTCCAGACTTTGAAATAGTTGTATCTCAGCCAAAAATTGTCCTGTCCTAACAAACCATACATAATTGGAAAGCTTATTTATTTAACTTTATATAGATGTATAAATCAATCAATTAAAAAAAATAAAAGATCCTTGCGGCTGGTTGTGGTCCAGGGTCACATTTGTTAAAATCGGCGGATGTGAAAATTTTAATGCGTTGCCTATTGCAACAGGTCAGAGTGGTGCTGGAAACAATTGGGCTAAAGGCCACTACACCGAGGGAGCTGAGCTGGTGGACTCTGTCCTGGATGTGGTCCGTAAAGAGGCCGAGAGCTGCGATTGCCTGCAGGGCTTCCAGCTCACCCACTCTCTTGGTGGAGGCACCGGCTCTGGCATGGGCACCCTCCTCATCAGCAAGATCCGCGAAGAGTATCCCGACCGCATCATGAACACCTTCAGCGTGGTGCCCTCGCCCAAAGTGTCCGACACTGTAGTAGAGCCATACAACGCCACTCTGTCTGTCCACCAGCTGGTGGAAAACACAGACGAGACCTACTGCATCGACAACGAAGCTCTGTACGACATTTGCTTCCGCACCCTCAAACTCACCACACCTTCATACGGTGACCTCAACCACCTCGTCTCCGCCACCATGAGCGGTGTCACCCCCTGCCTCAGGTTCCCTGGCCAGCTCAACGCAGATCTGCGCAAGCTGGCCGTAAATATGGTGCCCTTCCCTCGTCTCCACTTCTTCATGCCTGGCTTCGCTCCTCTCACCAGCAGGGGGAGCCAGCAGTACCGCTCCCTAACGGTTCCCGAACTCACGCAGCAGATGTTCGACTCCAAGAACATGATGGCCGCCTGCGACCCGCGTCACGGCCGCTACCTCACAGTCGCCGCCATCTTCCGCGGCCGCATGTCCATGAAGGAGGTGGACGAGCAGATGCTCAACGTTCAAAACAAGAACAGCAGCTACTTCGTCGAATGGATCCCCAACAACGTCAAGACTGCTGTCTGTGACATCCCACCCCGCGGGCTGAAGATGGCCGCCACCTTCATCGGCAACAGCACGGCCATCCAGGAGCTGTTCAAGAGGATCTCAGAGCAGTTCACGGCTATGTTCAGGCGCAAGGCTTTCCTGCATTGGTACACCGGGGAAGGTATGGATGAGATGGAGTTCACCGAGGCCGAGAGCAACATGAACGACCTGGTGTCTGAGTACCAGCAGTACCAGGATGCCACCGCAGAGGAGGAGGGCGAGTTTGAGGAGGAGGGAGAGGAAGAGCTGGCTTAAGTCTCTTAATATATACGTGTCGTTTTCCAGGCTGTACCTTTTTGCTCATGTACAAGGAAAAAATAAACGTTCCAAAGCTGTTTTCTTTTTCTGTTCTTGTCTCTTGTTTGTACAGATGTCATTAAAGGATTTTTCTTCTGTTAAAATGTCTCGCTCTTCATTTCCTTAATTTGCAAATATGAATGAACCAATTATTTGAACCCATCCTCATTCTTCACTGGTCACAGACACCGACACATCCTTGTCAAACCTGTTGGGATTGCCTCTAGACATCACGTGAATTAACTGATCTCATGCAGAATGCTTCTTTACGTTACCAGTCAGAAGATTCAACTGTCGCCAATTATGTAACATCCATATATGCAAATCATAACTAACACTAACAACTGATCACATGAAATAGATGAATTATGACATTCGTAAATATTGATTTTATCATTTCACAGTGTACATTTATCTGCTATGATGTCTGTTAATTGATGTCCATTTTAGAAGTTATCAAACCTAATGACATAAATGGGAGTTATATAGTGTCCAGAAATGTTAAATTAAATTTGATCTTGTATTTACACGTATTTTAGTTGTGGATGATCTCAAACATATGGTGGCTGCTTGGCAGTTTTTCATTCACACGATGGACATCATTCATCCTATATACTTTAATATATAACATTTTAAATAACTTTAATAATGAAATTGAGTAAATGCAAGCAATATGTGTTTATAGATATTTATGTATGTGTGTGGATTAGGGATGTGCATCTCATGACTGAGGCCGATACAATACGCAGCTCGATGCATAGCCTACGATACACTAAAGATACATATGAAGCATGCGATACGATTCACCCCTGTTACGATGCAGTGCGATCCGATTTCGATTCGATTCAACACAATGTGATTCGATGCAATGGAGAAAATATGATCACTTAGTGCCTCAGGGCCTGCTTCATAAAACAAGTTGACCAAATAAGCCAGGCTCATTTCAGTTAGTCTGACTCATTGTCAAATGATTTGGTTCCATAAAGCAAATTTAACACCGGCCTAGATCAAGCTTAGTCACTGTGGCAACTTATGCTGGGAAACTAACCTGGTCTAATGCAGGCTAACTGTCAGACTAAGCGAAGTTCCTCTACTGACCATTAGCAACATAATGATATTACCACCGTCTCATCCTAGTATTATTATTATTTTTTTTTTTTTTTAGTTTCTAGCCATGCAGCCTTTCTCTCTGGTTTTATTAAAGCTGTATCTTTTATAGTTTGCAGAACAGATAGCAGAATATTACAATCTACAATTGTTCTTTAAAGCATTAAAATAACTAAATTAAAAGTTAAAATCACTGAATTAAAAATTATGAAAATGACTACATTTGAACTGCTATAAGAAACACACATTAACTCATTTGAGCTATATAGCAGGCCTACTGTAGCCTACTAGCTTACATTTGATGTACCTATTACAGTAGTCCACTTACAGTTACTGCTATCATAAAAATACACTTTATATGTAGGTTTAAAAGTCTATAAAAGACACATTTAATGTCCAAACATTGTTTTTAATCAAAATGTAGATTTTACTCGGAATTATTGCGCTCCTATTCGATTGCGCTGTCTGTTTAGCGCGCATGCGCTCGTTGCTCGCGCGTCACGCGTGCCTCGCCCACTCCTGACAGCAAAATGGACATGTTTGCATGACTTTCTAACGTTTACAGATGAAAAATATACCTGTGACATGTCAGTTATGCACCGAGGAAGACACAACGTCTCAAATGCATCAAACAGTACAGATATAATCGCTGTTTGTCATGGTGGATCGATTTGATCCATGATCGACATTAAGGTCTGCTTAAGAATAAGCGTGCAAAAATTAGTGTGATTGTGTGACTTTAATTTGTCGTTTATGGAACCCGCTTTAGCCCCGATAGATTTGATAGGTTATTACGACTTTAATCCCCGCTTTTCCTCAGGTCTCTGTAGTGTTGTTGTGATGCGTCTTATTCACGCAGCGCAGCGGTGATGAGAGAGCGAATATATGAATGAATCGGTTTTTACCGATGCAAATATGTTAGAAACGATGCATCGCGATACAAATGACAACTTGTATCCGATGCACACTTTTTAAACCGATGCATCAGCATCGTTAACTTTTTTATGCCAATGCACCGAGCGAATCGGGGAATCTTCCCATCCCTGGTGTGTATAGATATGTATACATACATACACACACACACACACACACAACTAAAAGCTATATGATTTATTTGTATACAAAAATTTTAAGCATTTAAGAATTTTACTCACTCTCACATCTTTCCAAACCTGTAAAACAAAAAAAAGATGATCATTTGAAAAAGTACAAAAGAAATATGATCTTACAGGTTTGGAATTGCACAAGTGATATTAATTTTAGAACTATATCAAAGGGTCTCTGAGATCATGAGAAACATATCAGTCATGTGCGGTCAAAACAAAAATTTTTTTTTTAACATAGCTTCAGTAAAATTAAGTCTGTATATTTGGCCAGCACAGCATAATTAGAGCTGTTTTAACTGGAAACAAATGTTGATAACATAGTATTTATTAACAAGGGATGGTTTATTTTTCATAGTTATTATATAACAATTTGTGTTTATAGCTTCAAAACCAGTAATACTTAAATGCGTTAACTTAAAGGAACAATCCACTATTTTTGAAAATAGGCTCATTTTCCAACTCCCCTAGAGTTAAACAGTCGAGTTTTACTGTTTTCGAATCCATTCAGCCGATCTCCGGGTCTGGCGGTAGCACTTTTAGCTTAGCTTAGCATAGATCATTGAATCTGATTAGACCGTTAGCATCTCGCTCAAAAATGACCAGAGTTTCTATATTTTTCCTATTTAAAACTTGACTCTTCTATAGTTACATCGTGTACTAAGACCGACGGAAAATGAAAAGTTTTCTAGGCCGATATGGCTAGGAGCTATACTCTCATTCCGGCGTAATAATCAAGGAACTTTGCTGCCGTACAGCAGCAGGCGCAATGATATTACACAGCGCCTGAAAATAGGCTAACTTCCGCCAACATAACCAGCGTGACCACCTGCTTGCTTTCCGTTGGAAGTTACCTAGGGACTATTTTCAGGATTTTGATTCAATGATCTATGCTAAGCTAAAAGTGGTACCGCCAGACCCGGAGATCGGCTGAATGGATTCGAAAACAGTAAAACTCGACTGTTTAACTTGGAGTTGGAAAATGAGCCTATTTTCAAAAATAGTGGAGTGTTCCTTTAATCTTACCACAAACCAAGCTGAAGCATGAATGTCCTTATTACATTTTCTCAGCAGATGGTGCTGTTGTCTAAGCTGTTCTTCTCCATACAAAGTAGGATAAGATCCCAACACTGAGCAAGAGCAGAGACCAGCAGCACACCTTCATCACCTGGTCTTCAAGATTCTGCTTCTCGCCAAAACGACTGATAAAACCTGACTGAGAGCAATACACAATGTTAGACATTATAAAATAATTATTAATATAAGTATCCACCTTATTTTACAACGAAAAAGTAAACTATTTCCTGTGAATGTGCGACACTTCCGATCATTAACAGCCAGATGCCAGTAAATAACTAGAATAACTTGTGCACTAAACGGTAAAACTAGCTATACCAGTGTATTTGATTACAATAATGGATTTAAATGATATAACGAGGGTTAGGCACTTACCCATCCTCCTCTGTCCCTGATCTCGGGGCAGATGACCCTCTCTACATAGCTGCCCACGCACTCCTGAATCTGGGGCAGGATATCAGACATGCCCCTCTCCTGGCAGTGCAGTGCCAGCTGTCCAGAGAGAACAAACACGGACAGCACGGCGCTCCAGGCGAGGTCTCTACGCCGAGTTGGTGCAAAGTGCTCATCCAAAATGGAAACGAGGGTCGAGCAGGCCGTTCGGTCCGTCACGTCCTGGAAAACACGTGGCCAGCGGCGAAAGAAGATGGGGAAGCGAGTGAGCAGCTCATCTCCAGCGTGACGCAGGGCGGCCGTGGCACGGGATGGTGCTTGACCCACCGGGATGCCTGGTTTGGCCGTCACATAGTTGATATAGTCATATGCCATGAGGTAGGCCTCACGCACCAATGGGTCAGGACTGTTGAGGCCTCGGCCAATCACAGCTTTATCTGACAGTCCCATGACCTTAAATTACAACAATCTGCCCTCAATAGGCAAGCAGTGCCAATGTGCAAACTTTAGTACCCACTGTTTAGGTCACATTCCATGCCATGGTTCATACATAAACTGTCATTAGTAATCTGCACTCAGTGATTGCTGTGAATGAAAAGAAAATTCAAGATCAGATACTTCTGTTAATAAATTATGTCAATGCCCCCCTTTGTCCAAGACATTGATAACAAGGCACATCCGAATTCAATCATAGTATCACATCCTGTCTGCTGAGATAAATTCATCTGACTGATCTGATAATACCACTACTTTATGATTCCGTCTGCAAGGTGGTTGGTGGTCATTGGTCTGCGAGTAAATTTACCTTTTTGACCAACCGTTTCCACTTTTGATGTAATTTGTAGCACTAAATTAGTATCGAAGTAATTAAATATTTGCTTACATCTTTATTTAAGTGTTTTTAGGCATTTCAATTTAGAATATATTAGATTATATTCATTTCAATTCATAAATGTATTACTTTTAACTCACTGGGGCCCCCTGGAAGTTTGCTGAGACCCCCTAGTGGGCTCTAGCTCCATGGGTCACTCTTAAAAATAAATGCTCTTTATTGGCATTGATGGTTTCATGAAGCACCTTTAACATCCATTGAATATTTCCATTGCACAAACGTTCTTTACAGTGGAAGATGGTTTTTTAGATAATTAAAACATCCTTAACTAAGAAATTTCCCAATTGTTCATTGGGAAACCAAAAATTATTATTTTTAAGAATGTTGAGAGAACCATTGCCTTATTTCTCTGGGTCAATAATATATTTACATTTCTGTATTAAAGTACATCTTGATTTAAAAAAAATAATAATTATTGAAAACGTCATTATAAAGTAGTTTGACCTTATTGTTTTTTTTTTTTTTACAAACTGCTTAATAATTTAAACATATACATACACACAGGACACATGCAGATAAAGGTTGATAAGTCTCTTAAAATATCAGATCACCTGATCTTGTTTGTTTAGGTTGTGATATGGTAGTGTAAAAATAAAGTGATATTCATGAATTAATAATTCATGATGTTTGTAAAAAATACTTTTTATACTTTGAAAAGTACATTTAAAACATTTAAAAAAAATACTTAGATGTATATACACACATGCATTGTAGAAAACCATATAACACCAACATGAGAAGAAAGAACTTGGCACATGTGTTTACATTTAAAAAAATAAGATTTTACCATTTATCATGGACACTCTTATTTGTCATTGACCTTAGTCTTAAGCAGCATTCAAGGAAATTAAATCAGTTAACCTGGCAAAAAAAGTGAACTATCAAATTATTCAAAAGCAGCAGTCTCTAATTTAAATGTCCAGATGAATGCATTACAATAATCCAGTGAAAGGAAATATCAAATTCACACACACCGCAGCGAAGGCCCGGTGACTCACCCTTCTAGGCGCAGAAGTGAATCACGCCACAGCCAAAGAATCAGGATTATTTAACAGCTGACAGAAGTACTGTATACAACTGGAGATTTTCTAGAGTGAGCCGATGTCTGTGAGATTTACATGTGCATGTTGTTGTCCGGCTCAGACTATATTTAGTTCCCTTGTCTGTAACAGATACAGAAGCTGTTTGCATGCTCAGTCATTTGGGAAATGACACCAGGACTCCGTCCTGCATGACTACAGCTATAAATACTCCACATACAGAAGCGTTCAGACAAGATGCAGCTATAACCCGCTGTGCCTTCCACTATCTGGTGTGTTTGTCTATAACGTAAAGTTCCAGAATAATATCAGGCTACTTTGCATTGTAATTGAGCTATATATTTGAGAGACGAAAATAGTTTTTACCGGTGAAAATCTACCAAAGTCCATGCTGGCTGATGCACAAGCTAGCCAGTTTGCTGGTTATGATTAATAAATTATTTAAAAGATATTAGTTTTTTTTTTTTTAATTATGAACTGCAATGAATAACTGGTGTTCTGAAGTCACTGTTTTTATTTTTTGTTTTATTTGATTTTTAAAGGTTCTGCACACAATGATTGACTGTCTTTGCATTACATAAAATATAAATGCAAGTGGCATTTTCCTTAAACAAATATAGCATGAAAAACCCCTTTAAGATTGATAGGCTTCATACATAGAGTTCACAGCATATGTTTGCAGTTGCCACTGGCTTTGATATTTTGTATCTAACGAAATTACCTATGTTATAGACCTTAATCATGTTATATTGAATTGATGCAAATGAAAACGAGGCCGTGGGGGGATAGACAATGGCACGCACTTTATAAAAGGTCCTAGATCATGTAATTATCACAACTCACAACTTTCAAAACGATTTTATGAGGGTTTTGTCTACTGAATGTCTTTTTAGGAAAGAGGTTTCGCCAGCTGAACAATCACTATGTTGTTAAACAGCAATCCATTGAACGCATGTATAGTTTATCACTCACATAGGCTACTCGTTTTACATTCCTGTCAAAAAATTAATATTACGCTATCCTGACTCTTACCTGAGGCAGTGCATGGTGTGATTGGATGTTTTAAAAGAAACATAACCCCCCAAAATAAACTCCTCTAGACAGACATTTACCGACCACTAGGGGGCATTGTTATACTTATAAATAGGCTTCACAGTGCCCTGCAAAACCAGTCCAATATCTTTATCTAATTGCATTCTCTTGTCAGAAATAGCTTAACATCAGATGGGTTGCTACCATGTGTGTGAATGAATCACTGAATGCATTTAAACTGTTATAATCAATGAATATTGAATATAATGAATAATATTCGGAATATGTACATCACCCACAGAGCTTTTCAAGTATTTATTATTTTCATACAGGGTAGGTAAATTATTTTAATAAGACTAGACCAAATGATTCCAAGTGCAGACTGCAGCTAAATAATTCAGTATGAAACAATGTGATATTCTACACTGTGTTTAAGGGATAAAAACAACTTTATATGAGAATAACATCTAGTTATTTATTAAACGTTTCAAATGGATTGTTAATGTGTTGTGAAATAAAATGCAATGCATTGCACTGTTCTGGAAGCTCCTTTCTATATTGGTCTCTCTTAATTGTGTGTATTAAAGGGGTCATATGATGCTATTTCAATTTTTCCTTTCTCTTTGAAGTGTTACAAACTCTTGGTGCATAAAGAAGATCTGTAAAGTTGCAAGGACTAAAGTCTCAAATCCAAAGAGATATTCTTTATAAAAGTTAAGAGTCAGCCACGCCTACCTAAAACGGCTCGTTCTAACACGCCCCCACATGTCTACCTCACTATGTGGGAAGATTTGCATAACGCCGCCCAAATGTTCACGCAAAGAAAGAAGGCGTAACTTTTATTCTCACTATAGTATTGTTGACGCTGCAGCCATGTCGTGAAGACGCTGTGTGCTTCGTTGTGAAAGCGAAACTACTTTGTTTGGTCTTCCAAAAGAGGACGATATCCGCTTCGTCATGCCTAGAGCTGATCTGTGCTGGTCGCTGAGGGAATACATCAACTTTCACCGTGGACAAAGTGGAGTCCAGCCCGGGGCAACATGTGGTTGCCGCTCATTCGTCGCATCCGCCGGGCGCGCCGTTCTCGACCCCGCCACCTCAGCTCACTCTAGCCCGGCCTCAACGCACGCTAAGCCGGGGCTTCCGCTCACGCTAGGCCGCGGTGTTGTTCGTTGTGAAAGCGAAACTACTTTGTTTGGTCTTCCAACGGCGCGATGCAATGCAACACAACACGTAAAAAGACAGTATGACTCATTATAATCAGTAATTATGTCCCCACTGGATGCAACAAATGCCTCGTTTGTAATGCGTTTTAATGTTTTTGTCTCGTCGCTCCGGCCAGACACGGCATCAACAGTATGTGAGGGGCGTAACATTTCCGTCTCACGCTTGAGGTATTCGGCCAATCACAACGCACTGGATAGCTGGCCAATCAGAGCACACCTCGCTTTTCAGAAAGATGAGCTTTGTAAAAATCGATGTGTTTCAGAAAGACGGGGACAATAACGTACAGTATGTGGAAAATAATGTGTTTGTTGACCCTTAAACCACTTAAACACATTGCATTACACCAAATACACAAAATAATGTTCTTTTTAGCAGCATCATATGACCCCTTTAATTAAAATGATTACCCTCCGTATTCAAATGATTGACCTCGATTTGCAAAGGGGCTTACATTTATTTGCATGCAGTTTCGGAAAATAGTGTGGAAAGCATAAGAGTGTGCGCGTGCACAACGACTCCATTAAGGCCCAATCCCAATTCTATTTTATACCCCTTCCCCTTCCCTTACCCCTCCGCCTACCCGTTCCCCTTGTCCCTTGAAACAGAGTGTCAAGGGGTAGGGGTGAAAATATTCCCCTAAGAATTGGGACACCACTACTATACGTCACACGCCATCATACGTCGTCTAGCTCCTACAATACACACATCTATACTGGTGTGCTGGTGTGCATTAGAGCTTTTAATTACCGTTCTATATTAATGCGCTGCTTACTGACACACACACTCACACACACACACACACACACACACACACACAT